CTGAAGATGAAAGAGAAATTTCTTTACTTTTCTCTAGCACTCATTCCGCGCACTCTCAATTCAAAGGCCGATAGACTAGCGAATTGTGCACGTTTAGTTAATCATAATGTTCTTTTTGTAAGTTAGACACTACCTTCTTGGGTCACCAACTGGTGGTAAATTAGCATTATAATGTTGTTGAAAAAAAAAAAGTAAGCTCACAAAAATAATATTTAAGATATATTTGAGTAAATTTTTGTTAAAAGATTTATGATATAGTAGTTAAAATGCATAAAAAAAATCAACACTAGTGCACAAGATTCCAATAAAAAACTTCAGAATTAAATGTGATTCCGAAGTTAAGTGTGTTCGGGCGAGACTGTATTAGAATGGTTCACATCTTTGAAATCATTCATGTTGTATTTGTTTAATTTTTGTTTTTGAAAATGCATAAAATAATTTATAGAACACACAAATTGAAATCGCAAAAATAGTTAGCAATTTAGGTAAAATATGAATAATATCGAGCATTTCATCCAATTCTGGTATTGGATAACGGTAGTTAATTCTTGTAACTTCGGGTTTGATTTTAACAAAAAAAAAAACTTCGGATTTATGATTCAAAATAGTTGTAAAATCGTTGATCTCTAATTTTTTTTTTAAAGAATGATTCATTTGTTCTTAGTATCATTTTAATTGCTTCTTAGATTTTTAAGTTGAGCAATTGTTTTCAGATTATGTCTCCTAAGCCAATTTTGATCACTGCCACTCTCTCTGTCGACATGAGTGTATTGGGCTTACACAGCAGGTATCTTCCAAATTTTAATACCTTTCTTTTTCGCTATCTTCTCTCTGTTTTTTTGTATTAGTTAAACTTTTGTATGTGTTTAGTCACACTTTCAGATAGTTGAGATTTTTCTTGTTTAATTACTAAGAAGTTCTAGGCCGAGACCAGTACACGAACTTTCTAGGTTCTAAGTTATCTAACATGATGCATCATATTTGCTGTTTTATAGTAAAAAACAGAAGACCACATTGCCACAAAAGAGGAAGAGGACTAATCCAGTTGTGAGCAAGGTTAGTGAGTAGTGATCATGTTGGCTTAAACTATGACTTTGTTATTATCTATTACATTTCATAACTAAGATTTTTAATAAAAATTTTAGGCTTCTCAGTTTGAAAAGCTCATCACAACTACTCTTCCAAGTGGCAACCTCAGAGAAGCAGTAAAACTACCTCCTGGTGAAGACAAAAACGAGTGGTTAGCTATCAACAGTTAAGACAAGATCATTATAATCCTTAATTTCTCTATCCAAACTTTAATTATATCTTCTTAA